TTTTGGGAAAAAAACGGAGAACCCGGAGGAAACCCATACAGAATATACAAACGCCACACAAAAGCACCGCAGTCAGACATCGAACCCACTCTTCTTTATAATAATTACGGTGCGAAATAAGTTCAAGATACATGAGGCACAAGCGTTACCAGAGCCACCCTGTCACCCTATAAAAGTAAATGGACTTGGGCAGAACACATCGCTCAAAGGGATGATGGCCGGTAATAGAGATCAGTGAGCCAAAGGATAAAACGTCTCCGATAGGATGTCTACCGCGGAGATGAAGCAATTAAATTGGTTTCTGTGCAGGAGCATGAGAGATGGTGACTGCTTGAGGAACCCTTCATCCAACAGTGGGTATATCACGGCTGCTGATAAGTGCGCGTCTCCTTTCTGCTGTGGGTCGTGTGCTTGGCTTTCTCCGTCGCATATTCTCGTTGAACTCGCCTTTTGCCCGTCCAAGGACGAGTGTATTGCAGTAAATCTGAAACTTGCAAGCGAAAAGCAGATCGCGACGTGATATTCATTGCATCAATGCGTGTGCAGTTTGTAAGGGCGCGGTGACACGGACCTATTGCATGTTCATCACGACGTCCCTGTTACTTCGATGTCTCAACAGCGTGACGGAGACCGCGTGACGTCAGGGCTCTGCCTTTGTCGCGAGGGCTGCGAGTTGACGCCGAGGAGAGGGCCCCTCGGTCCCCCACGTGGAGTGACGTCACCCGCTAATGAATATTAATTGTGGAGTGTGTCCATTTGGAGGACGGCACCTGCTCATGATTATTAATGAGGGGGGTCCATGTGGAGGACGTAACATGTTCATGATTATTTTTTAATGAGGGGGGCTGGTCGACGTAGAGTGACGTCACGAGCGTTGCACACAGACATGCTCGGCTCATTATAGTTGGTAATAATAATGGCGGGGGGGGGGGTCCATTTTAAGGACGCCACCTGCTCATGAATATTGATGAGGGGGGCTGTTCGATGTGGAGCGACGTCACGAGTGTGAAGGACAGACATTCCTGGGTGATTATCGTAGGTATGAGCATACAAATATGAGACATCACATTGGCTTAGACAGGACACTCCACGAGAAGGGATTGATGGCTGATGTTTCAGAATTAGAATCCTTATGTAAACTGGAGGAATCCGATGAGCTCTAAAGATATTTTTCACAGATGTCAAGTATGGGCAAGTCAGCACGTTACAGCAGCAAACCATGTTTGACACTGCTGTCGGAATGGCAGTCAAAGCAGAGAATCGTCCGAAATAATACATCCACGCGGGTTGACAGAGCGATTGACATCAGCTCGTATGCAGGTGCGGGGTGGATTGCCACATCGCAGCGGCTTGTGGAGGACTTCATCCAGCAGTGGATTGACCATGACTGCTACTGATGATTAAATAAAAATACTCAAAAACAGCGGTGTTCTCAACTTTCTTGTTTATTCTTAACTTTCTTGTTTATTCTGTCGACACTGCAGCCAAAGAGCGACTGATATCCGACCGGAACTCCCGCGTTGGTTTCTGCTGTGGTTGTTATATTTTCGAATCCTTACATGGTAACATATTCACAAGCGCGCCTGCATTGGTAGAGTTGAAAAGTTCAAAGTAGGGTTGAACGACCCAAAAACGATCAAACACAGACAAGTGAAACAGAACAGAGCTTGCCGAAACGAACAAAAGATCACAGGGCTTGGCCAATTGTTGGTGCGGCCTCTGGCTGCCTTTTCGCTTGTCTGTGGTTTCCTACACATCCGTGTGTAAATTCTACAGCATTCTGAGATATAATTTGCATGATGCTGTATAAAAAAATGATTGTAACTATTATTAAATAATCGATCCTCTTTCATTTATTAATGTAGAACGTAGCACAATTCTAAATTTGGTAACTTTGGTTGATAACACAGGAACAAAATGACCTACTCTTAAATAACTTCAGGGATAGTTAACATCCGCTGTGAGTGAAACGTACTATTTTATGATCAACATACCCGCAGTATTAACCAGGGCAGTCTTCCGGATTCAAACCAACAAAGGGCGAACGCGCTGCCGCTGGGCAATGTCACTGCCCATGATGATGATGGTGCTGGTGCCGATGATGGTGGTGGTGGGAAGAGTGTTTCTGAGCATTTCTGAAGTCTTGGGAGGGGAAACGCCTTAGCTTAAACAACATCAAAGGACAAGGTGAGGTTTAGCCTGATGGTGCTGCCGTGCCTCACACATTGCAGGAAGTAACCGCTCCTTGTGAGTCTTTCGGGGATCTTTGGTGGCGGTGAGAATGATTTTGGTGATCATGTCGAAGGATGGATGCTGCTGATGATGGTTGCCTTGAAGATAGTTTTTTTTGTAGATTAATTCACATAAACATATACTGTATTGTACAGGCGCGTGTCTGGTGGGGTGGTACTGTGGTCATAGGGCATTCCTGTTTTTGTATTGTTTTTTGTAACTTTCTGACCTGCCCCTATTGGACATGTGAAAAAAAGCTTCATAGCTCATTGGATTCTTCCAGATCTTATTTATTCACGATGTACTTACAAAAAATCAGCAAACTACCTACTGGATCTCCTCACTGTTTCGAAGAACAAATGTGACCTAAGGTCTTCGCTCATTTACCAGCTTCACATTCCTTATTGCCGTACAAATACTGGAGGAAGGGCCTTTGCTATTGATGCCCCCAGAGTCTGGAATGCTATCACCAATAAACTGCAACTTGGACCACTACCTGTGGGATCTTCACTCAAAACTGCTCTAGAGGAGTTGTACACCTCTAGCTGCCACTGCTATTCAGAATAGCCTGAAATCAAATGTATCGTTCTGGATGACCGCTGCAAAGTATGATCTTGAGTTTTGATTATAGTGTGCAGATTTTTAAAGTGTATTAAAAAATGTTGATACTGCTACTGATACTGCTGCTGTTATAGAGTGACTCATGCAGCCAGCTATGGCTGCAAAGTTTGGTCGTACATGTTATGTTTTTCGTTTATTGTTAAATTTGAATCACAATTCCTATGATCACTGTTACATTGTTTTTATAGCTTTATTTTGGTGATTTGGAAAATGTGTTGGCTTAGCTATGTTTTTTGTTGTAGTACAGAGTTAGCCTGATAACTTTAATCGAAATTGTCTTATGGTTGTTATTGTTTGACTTGCATCCCACTGGGATTTTTGCACGCAGCGTTGATATACGGTGTTTTTTCTGGAAGACTTTGCAGTTTTTTTCTGGATTTTTCTGTTGCGTGTAGTCACTTTAAGATGTTCTTTGTTAATGTTTTTGTTTGTTGCGGTTGCACCGGAGTCAAGAGCCGCTTAGCTCACAGGGCTATACCTAATAAATGAAACTGAAAAAATTAAACTGTCCATTATAATGTAAATTGCCCCCACGAGTCGTACGGCCAGGGTTCCTCTGCTCGTCTGCGCTGCTGCACCGTTTACCACGCAGCGGGGAGAGCCGTGACGACTCCCATTGCTGTGACTACCCGCCCCCACTGGAAATCTCTTAAAAAGAGCTTCAGAGCTCATCGGATTCCTCCGCTATGAATACAGATTCTAATTCTGACTTCAGTGGCGATAGCGCCATTGCAGAATTAAACGAAGTGACGCTTGATTTGAAGCTTTCGTGATTGCAGGAATTACTCTTTGGTTCTTTCGGTAAAGTCACGTAGAAAGAAAATAAATTAAATAATAGAATACGACGTTTCGATTGCAACACAAGCAACCGTCATCAGGTAGAACTAAAATTGAGAGAGATACAAAACACAGTGAAGGAAACGTCGTATTCTATTATTTAATTAATTTTCTTTCTACGTGACTTTACTGAAAGAACCAGAGTAATTCCTGCAGTCACGAAAGCTTCAAATCAAGTTTGAACCACCTCTACGGGGAGGATGTAAGTTGTTTTCTCTCTCCGTGTCTGAGGATGTAAGTCTGTGTGTCTCTGTCAAATTTCACACTTGACTTCAAATTTAGCAATCTTTGGAGAACGTAATCAACCAGGCTATGCGTTAACTGTTTGTTAGCCGACTCTGTGTTGCATTGCATATTTCCATTTTTTTTTTCGAAGTTTGTTTTCTCAAACGGCCTATTTATCTCTCTAAAATTTACCAGGCTCTCATTCTCTCCCCTGGCCGCTTCGGGGTGGATTTCCACACATCTCTCGTTTATTGTGAAATTTCGGTCACAGTTCCTATGATCACTGTTACATTGCTTTTATGGCTTTATTTTGGTGATTTCGAAAAGTTTTTTGGTTTGGCCATGTTTGTTGGTTGTAGTACGGGGTAAGACTGATGGCCTTAATCTAAGATGTCTTGTGGTTGTTGTTGTTGTTTGACTTGCATCCCACTGGAATTTTTGCACACAGCGTTGGTGTACGGTGCTTTTTATGGAAGATTTTGCTGTTTTTTTCCTGGATGTTTTTGTTTGCGCATAGTCACTTTAAGATGTTTTCTTGTTCATGTTTTTGTTTTTTGTTTGTTGCGGTTGCACCCGATTCAAGAGCCGCATGGCTCACAGGGCTATACCAAATACATGAAACTGAAAACAATCTTTGGAGATAGCAATCAACCAGGCTATGCGTTAACTGTGTGTTAGCCGACTCTCTGTGTTGCATTGCTTTACATTTCCAAAAGATTTGCTACATTTTGTTTTCTCAAACTATTTCTCTCTAAAATTCACCAGGCTCTCATAGGGCCATTCCATCTTCTTTCCCTCGGTCGCTTCGGGGTGGATTCATTGACATGCCAATTTCTCTGTCCCAGCAGCTGCCCCAGCAGACCCACCTCTCTCTCTGCCCCCCACCTCTCTCTATTTAAGGCCTCGACACAGAGGCATTGTCTCTCTCTGCTTGTGTGTCTGTCTGTGTGTCTCCGTGTCTGTGTTTTGTCTCTCTCTCAATCTTAGTTCTACCTGATGACGGCTGCTTGTGTTGCAATCGAAACGTCGGACACTATTATTTGATTTATTTTCTCTCTCCGCGACTTTACCGCGAGACGCGCAGAGGAAGTGACGCGGCTCTCGGCCCGGACGCGACGCGGCGCTTCCGGCCGCGCCCGAAGCAGAAGCAGCGACGAGAGCGGAGACGGCGGCGGCGGCAGCAGCAGCGGGATGGCGGCCATGGACGCGAGCGTGGACCAGGCGCACTTGCCGAAGGTGGAGGAAGGTGAGGAGAGCACGAGATCAGGACGAGATCGTGGCCAGCGCCTGAGAGTCGGAGCTCGATTCCCCCCCCCCCACTTGGCGCCCACTTCCGCGTGCGGAAATGGAGGCCGCGTTTGTTTACAAGGCGAGAGCGTGCGGCGTGAGGGGTGGGACGTGCAGACTGGCGGCCACCTGCGGCGATCCACCGTCTGGATTGTGGGAGGCGGTCGCAGATCCGCCTCTGTTGTAGGAGGCAGTCGCCCTCCACTGACAGCCGTGAGCTGAGGAGCGACGTTCACGACAACGATCCGAGCTGCGGGCGACTAAGAGGCAGCAACATGGCACAGTGGGGGGCACAGGTCGATGTTCTGTGTCCTGTAACCTCTTGCCAAATAAACCTTCGATTCTTCACGTGGCCTAAATGTGCACCTAGCCTGGCACAAGCACTGTGACGACATCATCGCTATTTAGTGGAGAACGGCGGTTGTTTTCTCACTGGTGAATGGTAAGGGTTTGGAAATGATGACACTGAACTCGCAATAACTTTTTACTCTTCCTTTTTCATGTTCAACAATTGTCCTCAATTACACGGTGTCCGAGTCCGTAATTAAGTGTTTTTGTTGCAGTAAAGAAAGAATTCTCTGTGCTGGAGGATGGAGTACTTGCTCACCATCTACAAAAGCAGGAGAGTACGTCTGCATGCAGATACGCATCCACTTGGATACATCCATTATAATTTCAAGGACGAATAGAATCCACTAAATACGAATCGCAGCAAAAATGTGCGTTCATGGATCTGTGCTTGTGGCAAGAGATTGTGTTTTTTCAGAGGTTCGCGATTTGAATCTGGCAGGCCACCCTAGTTAAGTGTGGAGTGTATTACCCGTCAAATACTACGCGCCATCCGCTTCATGGTGAACGTGTTTTTGATCTCTTGACTGCATTAGAAGAAGATTAGAGCATTGTGTGCCGTGTGATGGTCCAAAGTTGCCGAAATTAAAACAATACTCGCAAATGCCTGAATTGGGAAGACCTCACAATCGTCGCCCCAAATGTGAACCTGACAAGTGTGGTAACAATAATATAGTGAAAACACGATATTATTATTTACACTGAGACCTCCTTTACCAGTGGCAAAATATAGTAATAGGTATAAAGGTGTCAGTTTTTGTACCAGTTGAAAGGGTAAAAACCTATTACTATATTATTGTTACTACACTTCTGGGAGCCGCGAGGTGATTTGTGTGGCTCAGCAGCCTCGTGTCCTGTTCTCATGCAGTTGAGGATCACTACGCCTCCAACGTGGTGAAGAGCCGCCTCGCGGCGGGCGACGTGCGTTTGGCGCGTCAGCTGCAGGAAGCGGAAGCGCAGCGGCAACGTCTAAATCGGCTGACGATGTGAGTGTAGGAACACGAGTGGAGCCGACATGGGGGAGAGAGAACAGTCGATGTTTGCATGTGAGGGTGGAGGAGAGAGCGCAGTGGATTTCCCAGGGTGGAGTGAGGGATGTCTGTGTGTGGGGAGCTGTAATATCGTGGATAGTGTGCTGCGCAATCAATCCGGTGACCGGAGTTCAATTCCTGCTCACAGCCAAGCCAGTGACGATTATCTGAACTGGTCCTGGGCTTTCTATAGGACGAATCGGCCTCAAATGAGTACTTGGTGTGGTATGCAAACATTGCCATTGGCGAGACAAAGGCGTTTAGGCGTGGTGGTGGCCTCCCACCCCCTTGTATACCGTACTGGCCTTTATAGGTGCTGACTAACAGCACTTGCCTCAAGAGTTTAAGCCTATAATGGCAATCTTTGTTTTTGTGAGGATGCGTGGGGTACAGTGAGAGAGCGAGATGGATGTTGGTGTGAGGAGTGAGAAGAGACGGTGGTGGATGTATGTGTGATTAGGGTGGGTGAGAGTCAGGAGGAGGGAGGAAGGTGGAATGCCTTTCAGTTGATTGAGGGGATGTCTGTGTTTTTTCAGCGAGGAGCGAGATGCTCACGTTGCCATGGAGCTACAGCAGCAGGAAGAGCGGGCGCGCGAGGAGGAGCGTCGGGAGCGAGAGCGGCAGGATGCGGTGGGTGCACGAGAACATACGGTGACACTACAGTCTGAGCACATGGGAAATGATGATCGTGTTGAGCACAAGCCCCTGCTGGAGTAGGCCCTGCACCACCAAAAGTCCCATTGGACCACCCAGGTTTACTCTCGTCCTACGGTGTAAAATTTTACAGGCAGAAATTCGCATCGGCTCAGAAATCGCTTAGTGCGAAACCTGAACTATCTTTATTGCATCCCAGACCGATCGCAAAGATGGATGCCAATCAGTGGTTGCTAGCGATTGCGTCATAACTCCCCCTACATCAGCCAATCAGCTGCCAGGAAAACAATCCTGATGGAATATGGCTGCTGTGACATTATTGCTCCATGCATTCAGTCAGGCTGTGTGATTTTTTAATGCATTTTTGCATGTGCTAGTGCATGTAATTGTTAAATTGTGTTACTTTGCCTGGGAATGTATATGTACGTGAGTGCATTTTCTCGTGTGTTTGTATTGTGTGCCGTGCTGGCCTTAATAGGTGCTCGCCAGAGGTCGCAAACGGGTTTTGATTCCTTACCCGTACCCGGCCGCACCAGGGTCGAAAACGGATACCCGGCTACCCGTACCCGGCCGGGTATCGGGTAGGGTACGGGTACCCGATTGCGACCTCTGGGATGAAGCCATGTTGCAGGCGCAGGTGAGTTGATTCTAGGAACTTGAATTGTGAGAAGAGACAAGACGTTGGGAAATGAGTGACAAACGGTTACTCACCAGTGACTCACGGCCTACCCGTACCCGTACCTGGCCGCACCAGGGTCGCAAACGGGTAGCTGGGTATCGGGTAGGGTACGAGTATCGGGTACCCGGTTGCGACCTCTGGTGCTCGCTAAGAGTGTGTTATAAGGCTATGTCTGTTTATGACGGTGTGTGTCTGTACGGGGGAGTATTTGTATGTGGGTTTGGAGGGGGGGTGTTTGTGTGTTATTTTTAGTTTGTGTGTGTATGTCTGTGTATATTGTAGGGAGTAGTTGTGTATGTATGTTAAACTTCTTTCGCACCGTACATAGCCACCCGCTAACCACTATGCTAATAGTGTAGTGGTTAGCGTGCTGCGCTATGAACCCGGCAACCTTATTTCAATTCCTGCTCGCGGCCACCACCAGTGACAATTATCTGAACCGGTCTTGGGCCCTCCCCTAGGTTTACTCGGCCTCAAATGAGTACCTGGTGTGGTGTGTAACCATCACTGCTGGGGAGACAAAGGCAGTCATGGTGCTGGCCACCAACCCTCTTATACTTTTCCAGCCTTCACTAGGTGCTCGCTAACAGCACTTGCCCCAAAAGCCTGTTAAAGGCTATACTGGGTATCTTTGCCTTTGTGATAATGTGTGTGTTTATTTGTGTGAGGGCACGTGTTTCATGGACGTGAGTAATGGCGGAATTAACGAATTCCCCTTGCATAAATCCCGTATGGAATCTTGGCGTACCCAATTTGTAGAATTGCGTAAGCCGTTTGCTACTCGGACTCTTGGTTTATGCTGAGGCTTGAGTGAATGCATTGAATAATAGTGATGTGTTCAGACATGTGTAGGTTTGACTAGACTAAGCCCGCGATGTAGAGCATTTGTGCCCAACCTGTGGACCACAGAAACTGGTGGACATCAAGGCCATGGGAGATGTCCCGCTGAACTATTGCAGATACTATGATTTATTTATGCAATACACCTAAACTATTTTACTGCCCATTGCACATCTTTTCAGATTAGCCAAAATTTTTTTTTTAAACCTATTTCTGGTGTGACTGCGTGTGTGACTTCATCACCAGGTGTTGCTTAAGTCGTCCTCCGTCCACCTGGTCTCCGTAGACTACAGAGGGTGGAGAGGGCGACTAAAGCAGCAACTGGTGAAGTCACATGCACAGTGACAGCTGAATAAGCTTAAATAATTAATCTTAATCGAGGCTGAGGAAACCTGACATCTAAATCATTTGCTATTATGGCTTTTTAATTCAAATGTATGATGCTTTTCGAGTAGGTTTAATTTCTTAAAGTGTGTTATTGGTGTGTGATCGTCTGCGGACATTTATTGAGGGTTAACTTCGTCTGTGGGTCCAGAATGGCTTGGAATCCACTGCTGTAGAAAATATTAAAATATTGTATCTCTTTCCCAAGAGTCAACAACTTGCAGGACGTTGTAATCTAAAAGCTCATGCTTACAACGGCAGATATTACCTTTAATGATGATCGTGATTTGTTTTTGATATAGTGCCCCATGTACCGGGGTGTCTCAGAGTGCTTTACATCACGTCTCAAACATTGATAGGATACCTCCAGTGGCCACTGTACTTGTGCGCACAAGGTGATACAACTCCTGGCCTGCAAATAGGAATTAATCTGCCACTAGTGGGTGTCAATTACTTTGTGTAATTGCAATGTATTAATTTATATTGTCTGACATTTTAGGTCTATAAATAAGAAAATGGACTTGAGAATTCACCGCATACAATGTACACCTACCGAAGGGTGCAGTCATGCACAGAAGGTCAAACACCTAAAGGATTCTCAATATTAATTGTGTTTATTGCCTGAGGCTTGCAGAGCCAAGCTAAGGTACCATTAGGATACTCGGTGTTAAACATTCATTCCTAAAACGTCTCGGCTGTCAATCGCGAATGATGACGACAGGAGAACAGCTAGCACTTCCCTGCGCTCTGGTGGGATGAGAGACCAGCCCTTGAAATGTAGATAATAACTGCAGGGATTTTTTTTTTCAATCTACTGAGATTTTACAGATCTATAGTGGGAATGAGCGTCGATTCAACTGAACACCAGTCGAGCTCAAAAAAACAACGTAATGCACGGTTGTCTTAAGCAGCATTGCCATTTAATATATTTTTTCTTAAAATTACTTTTTTATGACATAACCAGTTGTGATCGATCTTCTAAAAAACCTTGATGTGGCTCATTAACTTTGAGACCGTGAGACAGACTTAATTATAAACACATTCCTGCGGAGGGAGCTGGTAGGAACGTTGGCTTGCTCTGTCAATGACCAGGGTCAACGGCGGCGTGGTGTATTCCGCTAATATGGCCAACTGTGAGGGTGGGCACAAGCCGGCGTGAGTAGGTTAAACGTTGAGTTTTATAAGGGCACCACGGGTGACCAACCCCTCCCCACCCATCCCCACCCCACCCAGCCCCTCCCCTCCCCACCCAGCCTCTCCCCTCCCCACCCATCCCCTCCCCACCCAGCCCCTCCCCACCCTCCCCTCTCCACCCAGCCCCACTCCTCCCATTTTTGGATGCACGATGGACGGACGGACACAATAATCCCCTGTGGCCTGGTGTAACCAGGAGGTTCCTACCAGTAACATTGGGATGTAAACGTGTGTGCGTGTGGATGCAGAGGGTAGCGCGCAGGCTGCAGGAGGGGGAGCGTAGAGGTCGCCACGCAGACTCGGCCGCGCATCCATCCCCAGGTGAGAAGGGCCCCGCATTGATCTCCATACAAGTGGTAGGGGTGCTGACATGGCCGAGCAGGAGCGCTTTGCCACTCGTTTACGGAGATTTTCTTTTCGAATCCGACGGGCTACCCTGGTTAATACTGCGGATGTATGAACCATACTGCGGGTGTATTAACCATGATACACTCGTTCTGCTTCGCAGTGCACCTTAGATCCTGTTGTCATTCGAATAAGAGTAGGCCATTGTGTTGGTGTCATGGTCCAAAGTTGCCAAATTATACACAAATAACTTTCATTTGAAAATAGCAATCATCGCCCTCAACTGCAAACGCTTATCAGGACACTTTTCAAAAAGTCTTGTCTGAGGCTTTCCTTGCTTAACAAGTGTAACAATACAATTATACAAATGCATTAAAAAAAAATCTGTCTTGTTTGTATAATTTTCCTCCATTAATGCAGTTGTGTTCTCTTCATTTACCTAATTGACCATATAATTTGCATAAAATGAGCATAACATTCCTCCACACATTATGCACGAATCTAATATTTCCGAATCCATGTAAATCAATCCGTATATATCATTGAGCACACCCCTGATTTAAAATCTGGCTGGGTGGCTCAGTGGTAGCGGGAGCAGCTTGCAATTGCAAAGTTGCGAGTTAAAATTCTGTTTGGGGGGTTGATTCAGTCCACCAACCCTCTGGGGTCAATAAAATATACATGCCTTTAGCCCGTTCAAGGACGGCTGTATTGCAGTAAATCTGAAACTTGCAAGCGAAAAGCAGACCGCGACGTGATATTCATTGCATCCATTCGTGTGCAATGTGTAAGGCCGCGGTGACAGACCTATTTCATTTTAAAGGTTATAATCCCTTGTTCATCATGACGTCCTTCTTACGTCTCAATAGCGTTACGGAGATCGCGTGACGTTAAGGTTCTGCCTTTGTAGTGAGGGTTATAAGTTGACGCTGAGGAGGGGGGAGGAGGTGCTTCGCCCCCCCCCCTTCCATGTGGAGTGACGTCAATGGAGGGGGTGTCCATTTGGAGGACGTCACCCGCTCATGATTATCAATGAGGGATGGGTCCATATGGAGGATGTAACTTGTTCATGATTATTAATGAGGGGGGCTGGTCGACGTGGAGTGACGTCACGCACGTTACGCACTGACACTCTTGGGTAAATATAGTAGTAAATACGGGCAGTCCTCGGCTTACAAATCTGTTTTGTTCCCGAGACCCATTTGTAAGTCGAAACACTAATACACTGTTTTTAAATGCCCACATCGTCAGGGTTATGAAATGTGTTACAGTTCAACAAATTTGGAAGCAGTGTTAAACTCCTAATTAAGAATAAATATTGTAAAAAAAATATTGTATAGTCAATAAAACTAAATTAGGTAACATAAATAGAAAAAAAAACCTGTTTTATATTCACTTACCTTGAGTCCTGTTGCTGGCTTGCTTGTCAGAAGAAGGGCAGTGTGTCCCCACAATTGCACGCACACATACACACACGGAGCACACAGACACACGGGAGCACACACAGACACACGGGAGCACACACAGACAAAGACACGCACACACCCCAACGACAACAATCGTTTGTATGGCCTTAACAGACTGTTGGGGCAAGTGGTGTCAAAACGAGCAGCGCGAAGACTGCCTGTACCGCATAGTGGGAAGCCAACAGTGTTTGTCCTATGGATTGCCTTGCTCCAGCTATAGGAAAGTGGTGTTTCCACCACTGGCTGTAAATGGGAGATGCACTGCCTCTGCTCATTTGAACAGGGCACCACTTTGATTTTTGAATTTTAAATAAGGGTTGCATCTTTAAAGCCCAAAGGCTGACAAAAGACATGAGTGCCTTGACCCTAATTCTCACTTACATAAGATGTGCAGCTGTTACAGCTGGAGTACATTCTATATGAACTGGCAGTTTCCACCATTTAATAATGAATGTCGTTGTGTTTGGCTAGCTGTCATGTTCATTGAATAATTTGTAGATTAAAAGTTTTTGAGTGTCGTGTTTGCAGTGTAAGTGTGTATGGCCGTGTGAGTGTGTTCGTGTTAATTGCAGTGGTGCGGTTGCACAACACCCGGCACCCTGGATACCCTTGCAAAAGAAGTGTTCCATCTCAAGGGCATTTGAAATAAACAAACTAGTGTGGTGTGGGTCTGTGTGCTTTACTAGTACGAGACCAAGTGGGCTATGTGGAAGAGGGGGTGGTGACTGAGGAGATTGAGCTTGACGATGCGGAGCTGGCAAGGAGACTGCAGCAGCAGGAGGAGCAGGTGAAGCGGCCGAGTGAGAACCTGTGACGACGCCTCATTGGAAACGATGAGGTGGTAAAGTGCCTAGCGGTAGTGTGAACGCTGTTTGTTGCAGCAGGGTTTGTGCTTTGTATCCAGAAGGCCACCCTGGTTGATACTGCTTTGGATATTAACCATAACGTACTTTGCGCTACCTGGTTCACATTGGACGTTTAAGGTCCTGTGATGTCATTGGAAGAAGAATAAGCAATTGTGTGCCAGCATCATGGGTTGCTGCTCCTGACATGGTGATCTGGCGTGACCACTTGAATGTGAAATTGTAGTTGTTGCTCTACACCATACGAAAGAAGAAGAATGGGCCAGGTTTTAAACATCTGTTTTAACAAGGGTTGTAATGTTTTATTTCTTTATTTTAATATCAGCAATTTCTACAAAAGCTTTTGGAGGAGACCTTGGTTGCTTATGAAATCCCTTGGTTGCTTATGAAATCCCTTGGTTGTGTATTATTTGTTTTTATCCCTTTACGCAAATGCAAGTCTTGTCCTGTTTGCATTTCTCCCCAGAGGGCATGGAAGGCTCACCGGGCAGCCGATGCGGGGCTCAGGGCTGCAGTATTGGCTCAGGATGAGGTAAGCAAGTTATCTGAACCAACTTCACATCTCATCTGTGATTTGTGAATCGGCATCCGTTTGCTTTTATGAAAACTTAACAATCTTTTCTCTGTTTAAGTTGCTTTTGGAATGATTTTCATTAGGTTTTACAATTCAAGATGTATTAAGTATACCGTTGTGTATTGGCAAAGAACTAAGTTATGAATTCGATTTCTACGGCGTATATATTAATGATCGTGGTTTATTTTGTTATACAGCGGCATTCATGGTAGTTGTCTTCTCAAATTGCTGTAGAACTTAACACGCTTAGTTTTGGCACAGGTGCGGGAAGCCACAGACAAGCGGCGATGATTGCCCATGCTCTGGGATCCTATACTGGGCTGTTTGGCCAACTCAAGTGTTTATACACGGAACAATATAAAACACGTGTCTCTGTTTCTATCCCAGGAAATCGCCAAGTTTATCCAAGAGAAGGAACTAAAGAGTCTCAAACAGAAAGAGAAGACATCGGTGAGGGCGAGAGAGAAAGGAGAGATGGAGAAAGAGAGACACAGAGACCCAAGAAAGGAGAGCGAGTGGGTGCGGGAGAGGGAAGCGGGGAGGGAGAGACAAGAGTGGGAACGAGAGAAGGAGGAGCGAGCAAGGGGGGAGAGACACGGTGACCCGCGTAAAGAGATCGAATGGCAAAGGGAGAGAGAGGCGAGGAAGGAGATTGACACTGGTGAGAGGAGAGAGCAGGAGAGGCTGAGAGACAGACACAGGGATCTGAGTAAGGAGAGTGATCATGAGAGACATATGGAGGCACGGGGATATAGGGAGGGGGGGAGAGAGATGCACGGGGAGAGAACCCCGGTAAGGGAGAGGAGAGAGCCTGTGTCTGTGAGGACTGCTGATGAGAGAAGCGGTGGCGATTCCCAGAGAAGACCGCCAAGGTGAGCGCACTTCCTCTCCCCCCCCCCCCTCTCTCTGCTTCCCCTCTTTCAGGTCTCCCTCTTCCTGCTGCTTCTCGCCCTGCTCCCCCGCTCCCCCAGATCTCACGAATTCACTCGGGCAACCAGTTGTGGCCTCAATCACTTATTTGTCAATATTACCATGGTTACTGTTTCCATGAGCTTCGCACAATGATTCCTGTAATGTTGGCTTGGTCTACCAGACCAATTGTTTATTCTCATCCACAGTGGGCAACCACCACACTGCAGGTCACAACACTTATTTTGGCTTATTCCTTGCCCTTCTCCACTCTGGAACTCCCCCCCCTCTCCATCATCCATTTTCCCAAAGCTCTTCTTTCTAAGAAATTTGTGTAACCGCCCCTAAAAAAACAATGTAAGGCTATAAGCAATATTGTTAAGCTAATACCTGTGGATATCACCTGCTATGACTTGAATCATAAACATGGATATTGACAAGGAAAATTAAATAGAAACTGACAAGTACACAGACATACAAGGAAGTATGGAGCACTACATGCTTGGAATTACACTGAGAAACACGAACGTGGATTAGAGAATCAATGCAAGTTAGAGTACTGTTAAACACTGGGGATGTCAACACTCGGTAAAGTAGAATAGTACCTGTCAAATAAGATGGTCCAAAAATGTGTAGTTAAATCTTTTTTGGATGGTTAATAACATCTTTCCAATGATTACTCAGTTTGTACCCATCATCACGGTTGAAGTGATGTCTGTGTTTGTATATCTGGATGGCTTCGTGTACAAACCTTTGATGGTAGCCAGAAGGTTTGCAGAGCACCTTGGTCTCGGAAAAGACATCTTATTGCCTTAATAAAAATTGGCTTGGGAAAAAGAAATCACGATATGGGATGCTGGTTGGTGGTCAAGACTAGAGACGGAGTAGCAGCCAAATGGAACAATGCCCAAAAAGATGTCCACTACGGAGATGGAGCAATAAGATGAGCTCATGTGCTGCACCCAGATTGATTGTTTAATCGCAAGACCGTAAGAGATTGTCACAGCCTGGGGATGCCTCCATGTATCAGTGGGAAGGTCATGGGTTGATAATGTTGGTGGGAAACCCACAGTGGTTTTCCTATGGATAGACTCATCTCTGCCATATGCATGTGTAATTTCTACCGTTAACTCGGAGCTTTAAACTGTTGTTGAGCACCGTTTCAACGCTTAATTTAAGCAGGAAATTATTGATGATTTCCTCTTAAGAGGCAGTCTGGATTTCAACAAAACATGAACATTGGCATAATTATTGTGGCTCTGCAGGCCGCCTCCACCAAAGAACATTGCGGAGGAGCTGGACCCGACATTTGATAAGCGACCAATGAAGAGGCCGCCCCGCCCTGCCGCGCCCCCCTCGCACGGTACGTTTCGTGTGTGTGTAGCTGTATGTGCCTGTGCATTGTGTTTCTCTGTGTGTGTCTGGGGGAGCGGGAGTATAGCCGTGAGCGCACTGCAACTAACCCGGCCACCTGAGTTTCATGCCTGCTTACAACCACCATTGATGACGAATATCTGAACTGGTCCTGGGCTTCCTGTAGGTCAACTCAGCCTTAAATAAGTACCTGGTGCAGTCTTTGACATCATATTTGGGAGACAAAGGCGGCCGGGTGCAATGCTGGCCATTTACGCCCTCATGTGCGGTGCTGGCCTTAATAGATGCTCGCAAACAGCACTTGCCTCAACAGTCTGTTAAAGGCTAAAGGAGGGAACTTTGCCTTTGTGATTGCATCTGTGTGTCTGTCTCTGTTTTGCCATAAGCTCCACAAAAAATAAGCACGTGCCCAGGTATTTATCATCGAATGCTTCACCCCCTCTGCTCCTCAAGAGTGATGGGGTAGTTGTGGGGAGAGTGGAGACGTTTTTGTACCTAGCCAGTGTGCTTATGGCAAACTCCGGTTTGGCAGTGGAGGTCTCACTCCGAATCAGACGAGCGGCACCTTTCCATCAGCTGCATAACAAATGTGTAGAAGCTACCTGGCCTATCGCTCCATCCGAAGCTCCGTGTCTTCTCAGCCATAGTTATGTCCTCTCAGCCATAGTTATGTCCTCGCTTATCTATGCTTGCAAAACTTGGACCCCTTTGATGGAACATCTATGTCGGTTTGAAAAATCCAGGATAGCCTGCCTACAACCCACCCTGGGCTTTACCATGAGTTGTGTTCTATTATTTTTTGTTGAACTAGGATCCAAATCGGAAACAAAGCATCCTTGCCTGTAGGATTGGCAGTTCAAGAGCATTGATTTAAGCAAGCTTGACTGCTGATGAGACACTGAATGTTGAAACCTGTCCCCAGTTGCTTGTCTTGAATCAATACTGCTAATATTATGCGTTCCCATTTAAGCCGTGCGGCGATGAGTTGTGTAAAAATACTTTATTAAAAAATGTATGTGGAGAGTGTGCAGGAGAAATTGTCTGCTCATTTTCTTGTATTTGGTGGTCTCTGGTTTAGGGTGTTTCAAAAGATGGACCCAATTTCAAAGCAGTATACAGATAGTCCCTGAGTTACGATGGTCCGACTTACGATGGCGATAGCGATACGACAAAATTGTAAAATATTTCAAATTTCGCACGGTAGGCAAACGCAGCAGCGTACAAGGTACGATACTGTACGTTGGGACGCTGCCGGGATGTACGCATCTCCCGCCTTTCTATTAAATTGCAGTTCATATAGGTAGGCGAAGAATTTACCTTGTATTTTATTGTGCAATAGAGTATTGTAATTAATAAATACATACAGTATATAGTTTATACAGTACAGTACTGTAAATTGCTCTGTTTTGCTAAATTATCACCATTCTTTAAGACTCCTGGGTAGGCTAGGCCATCTTCGACTTACGATATTTTTGACTTATGATGGGGTTGTCGTAACGCATCTCCATCGAAAGTCGAGGACTACCTGTATTTTACGATGGCAACATGTTACAATTACACTAAAAGTTACAAACGGTTTAATAAGCTATCAAGTTTTACTAACCATTTTATAAATGCTCTGTGCCCTCCACCTGCTGTACGGACAACATCGAGAAGATAGTTAAATTAGTCCCAAACGCCTCTCTTCTCACGTTTTCCTCTGAGGTGCGTGGTTGCCCTGTGCTCTTACCCTTGCATAAATAGTCTGTGTCCTCAAATTGTCGCTACCAACGACGAATGCTCTTTGACATTGGTGGATCAAAACGCCGTTGAAATGCACGCTGCACCGCAATTACGGATTCAGTCTTGCTGAACTGCAGAACACAAAACGCCTTGTGTCACCATCTTGCGAAAGACTGAGGCTAAGGGCTGTTTGTGCGCTGGGAGAGGCATCTAGCGGTAATCATTTGAAACTCTATGCCCCGCCCACTTTATGCCCTGCCCTCTCTAAGCCCTGCCCTTTCAAGTGGTAAGAGTTTCATTCATGGGCGGTTTGTGGTTGCAGAGATATAGCCATTTCAAATCGGGTCCATCTTTTTGAAACACCCTGTATATTTGGTGGTTTTTGCTCTGATTTCTATTTGCCTCATTGTTGTGCTTTGTTTTTATGTTATTTCTTTTGTCATTTCGGTGACCCAGGTCAGTCACTCTTCAAATGAGACAATCGCAGTCTCTTGAGTCATCGCCTGGTTAAACAAACTTGAAACACTTGGCTGTGTCCCTTGTAGACCGAACACAAGGCCATCCTATTGGCAGCCCACCCGCACACACAGCCAGCGATGAACATCACGTCAACCGGAGCTGGTCGAGAGATGACACTCACGGGAGCCAGCCGGTGGAACCAGAAGGGGCAGCTGCCTGGGATGCAAGAGATCAAGGGCCGAGGTGGGAGAGAGGAGGGAGAGTGCTGACAGGAGAGGGTGAAGACCGAAGTCGGAGCAAGAAAGAAAACTGCAAGCAGCAGTGAGAGGCCTCCGAGTTTCCCACGCTCAGCAAAGTGAACACCATAGTGCTCAGCTTTACCAGCAGTATTACTCGTGTGCATAGTGTGTGTGTGATCAACAACGTCTTGTTTATATTTCTAGTGAATGTTCTGTGCAGCAAGTGCATTGAACCATCGCGAGCTGTGCCACAATTGGTCGCACCGTCCCTCGTGCCGGCGCTTGATTGGCACGGCAGTGTTACGTGTTCTGTGTTCAGTGGACCACACCTTTGCCAGTGTGTAAGTGTGGCGTGCGCGCATTTGACCAGCATTCCCATTGTGTGGACACCCGCACAGGGATGGCCAGTGTCTTATCTGTGATGTCAGTTTTTCTTGCCTTATTTTTTACGCTTTAATAGGATATTGTACCGATTGTAAAATAACGATGCCTTTTATTTTTAGACACCATAACAGCCAAAATATCATGCGCTTTTTTCAACGAGCTTGTGATCGGTGTTTTTTGTGTGTGTTCAGAAGCGAGTGTCAAGCAGAGGGGATGCATTTCTTGTGGTTGGGCTGTGTGGTGTGGAATCATTTTGGGATGGGTATCCCAATGCTGACATCGTAAATCAGTCATTAGCAGAGAGCACGTCAAAGCTTGGCGATACAGTATATAAGAGCAAACTCTTTATTTTATTTAACCTGGGAAGGACGCAGGAAACCGGGATGAATTGAATTTTCAAGAGTGACCTGGGCCACCAAAATGACAAGTAACAGCATAAAACACGAAGTACAGCAATGAAGCAAATATAAATTGGTGAAAAAACAACCTTTACAGAAATTGAAAGTGCCAAAACATAAATCATTAAATTATTGAATGTATGCCATTGCACTTGATGATTCTCCTTTAAGGCCCAAACTAAGTCTATGGGCATTATTGTCAGGTAAGAGATTTAGTAATTCAACAAAAAAGCACTGGACTTTGAGAAGGCAGGAACTTCTCCACAGGCCAATACGAAGACGGCACTGCGCGCCACTTTTCACTGGAACGTGCATTAAAGTCCGCCATTCCTTTTTCGTGGCATGACCTCTATGTAGTATGCATGATGAACTTATTTCGCACCGTATGTAGCGAACTGCTAGTTGGACCTTTTTAATAGATATCGGTGTTTTACACAAGCTAGTTGTATATCCAAACTTGATATGAAGCTTTCGTGACTGCAGGAATTACTCTTTGGTTCTTCCGGTAAAGTCGCGTAGAAGGAAAAGAAATGAAATACTAGAATACGACATTTCGATTGCAACACAAGCAACCATCATCAAGTAGTTTTTTTTTTCTAAGTTTGTTTTCTCAAACGGCCTATTTCTCTCTCTAAAATTGTATTTAATTTATTTTCTTTCTACGTGACTTTACCAAAAGAACCAAAGAGTAATTCCTGCAGTCACGAAAGCTTCATATCAAGTTTGAACCACCTCTACGGGGAGGATGTACGTTTTTTTCTCTCTCTCTGTCAAATTTCACACTTTAAATTTTAGCAATCTTTGGAGATCGTAATCAACCAGGCTATGCGTTAACTGTGTGCTAGCCGACTCTCTGTTGCATTGCATTACATTTCCCCAAAATTTGCTAAATTTAGTTTTCTCAAACTGCCTATTTCTCTCAAAAATTTACAAGACTCTCATAGGGTCATTCGATCTTTCTCTCCTGAGGTCGCTTCAGGGTGGATTCATTGACATACTAATTTCTCTGCTCCAGCAGCTGCCCCAGCAGACCCACCTCTCTCTGCCCCCCCCCCCCTCTATTTAAGGCCTCGACACAGAGGCATTGGGTCTCTGTGTGTCTATGTTGTGTCTCTCTCTGCTTGTGTCTGTCTCCGTGTCTGTTTTGTCTCTCTCTCAAATTTAGTTCGACCTGATGACGGTTGCTTGTGTTGCAATCGAAACGTTTTATTCTTTTATTTATTTATTTTTCGTGACTTTTCCAAAAGAACCAAAGAGTAGTTGTATATCCCTTTATTACAGTTTTTATTCTGGTTTCTGAGTCCTTGGGTGCATTCTGAGTATTATTACACTGTGTGTGTCTGTCTTATCTCCATCCAGTAAACCCTTTATCCGTGAGTTCTGGATTCACGAGTTTTGCATTTTCGCGAGTTACTAAATGTCTACTAATTCTCTATTTGCGACCCGCTGGGACTCCAGTATTCGCGAGTGTATGTAGTGCCAGGCCACTGATACTTGGAGGTGCACACAGAATTTAACATTTCAAGCTCTGCAGAGATTAGGCACACCCCCCCCCCCCCACGGCTGCCCGTGTCGTCCTCTGTCTCGCAGTAATCCCACTCTGAACTCGGATTTTTACTTTATACTTAGTCGACTAATACATTTTGGTTTAAATGAGTCACCTGAGGTCCATTTTAAAAATAACACGAATTAAATCGGGGAAAGTGTTGCAGCTATAACACTCCCCAGTGCTAAAATGATGACTGTTAACAAATACATGCATCTCCCGAGGAGTCGTCCTGAGTTCCTCGCTATCACCTCCATCGTCATAAAATATCAAAAGTAATAAAAAACACATTGTTCTGTCTAATATATTATTTATTGTAGTACTTTTTATTAAACTTTTAGCATTTCTTCCCCCCCCCCCCCCCCCCCATATTCACTCGCATACCAGGAACGTAACCCCATTTTTCCCATTGGAACAAGTTTTCTGCATTCACGAGCGTTTTCAAGAACGCAACCTTTGTGGATAGAGGGTTTACTGTATATCTATCCCTTTGTATCTATCTCCTTATGGCTTTTGTCTAGTTTCTCTGTCTCCATATCTCTGCCTGTCCCTCTTATCTACTGATTTTTTTCCATGTTGCTCTGTATATCTATCTGCATCTCTCTATCTCTTTCCATGTCTTTGTCTCATGTATTTTTATAATCATATCAACTTGCTCCACTTGAACCCAGTATAATTGCGTGTGTCATGCATGTTTAAAATTTAAAAATTTACAATCGGGCACCATAAACATGTATGCATGGCTGAGTTTGTGCATGTTTGTGTGCAAAAGTCTTGCATTTACTTGTCTGTGCGTCTGTATCCATATATGTAAATATGCCTGCGTGTGTGGGAATGTAATGTGTTATGACTTTCTGGTTTGGCAGCAGAGGTCTCCAAATCTTTTCATCAGCTGCATATCGCTTGGTGGAAGCTTCCCTGGCCTTTTTTTCAATACGAAGCTCCAGGTCTTCTCAGCTTATGTTCTTCTCTTCAAATGGATCTATGTTAGATCCATTTGAAGGAACATCTACACCAGTTTTAAAAAAAACATTTAGGCTGGCCTGCCTGAATGATCCATCCTCTGCTTTACCAGGCTGGATTGTGTGAGCTCGTAGATCTACGAAAGATCTGGGCAGTCCCATCGGTGAGCTGCTCCAGCAGACATGGCTGCGTTGGTTGTGACATGTAGTCTGCATGCCAAAGTATCTTCTGTTTGGCATTTATAAGAGGGGGCTAAACGGGCACGGCATTTGCTAGAGGAGAGATGGGCTGATGTGGTACAAGAGGCTAATATAGCCGAGTGGACTTGCCGATTACTTATGTAATGGTTCGAGAGAGGCTCGCACTGTTCTGGGAAGGCAACATTTTATTACTGAACACAACTCGTAACGATACACGTAGGGTGGTGACCACTGACCTATCCTCACTAACACTCGTTAACACTAACACACTGATAGCAACTGGCGTGGCCAAGCCAGGAGGGCTACTGCTTGGCCACGCTGACTGGAGGCTTGACTTCACTCTTCATGAGGCGACTTCATCCCGGACTCGAGCAGCCTCGCACCAGGTGTGGAGGCCGCTTATATGCGCCACAGCGTGGCCGGGGTGCGGCCTGGCCACGCCCCCCTTCGAGAACCCTCGAGAAGGCTCTGCTTGTAGCCTCGTGGCCCCCAAGGTCCCCCTGGGGCTCCCGGCCCCCACCTTGATCCGGTCACGTGTCCGGTGATTAACCCGAACAAGCTGTGCCTCCCAACAAGCAACATGAATAAATAACGCGAGAAACATATGTATGCATTGGAAGAACCCCGGACGACAACACGATAACGGCAATAACACCAATCATACAACAACAAAATAACATCCAACCCTGAGGCACCCCGCACTAGCAACCCGATGACCACTAACGAACTGCTGCGGGGGAAGAAAAGCACGCACACAAGCAATAATAAAGACCCACAGAACAACTTGCAATGTGTGATAGTGTTATTTGAACCGTGTGGTCCATGAACGAGTGGGTGTGGCCCTGCCCCAACACCCTGGGAGGTCTGGGGTAAGCGTCATTGCAGGCGGGTGTTTGCGGCTGCCCCATCGGGGACTGCGGTGTGGATGGTGGGCGGTTGGTCGTCCGCATCCAGCGGAACGTGAGAAGCAGCCCCCGTCGGCACCGAGGGGATCACGAGCGCCGATCCTGCGGGCGGTACCACCTCTCGGCGTGCCCCCCATCTCGCCCGGCACACCAGACATATTCGGCCCTCAGGGATGGGAGATGAGTTAACACGACGGGGTTGCACAAACGGTTTCAGTCGCGACGGGTGTATAAACCAAGTCCAGCGGCCGAACCGAATCTTAACGCATTGAGGCCGGTCGGCCTGCACCACCTCGACCGGCCCTCGCAAGGGCTTGTACAGCTTAGGCGACATGCCAATAGGCACCTGTGGACAGTGCAGCCAAATCCTGTCACCAGGGACCCACTGCTTGCCCAATACACGACGACTGGATTCGCTGATGATGTGCCCGAGGTATCGTACTGATTTCTGCAACAAATGGCACTTTTGGGGTTTGAACTTGAGATTAGCCTGTCGCATTTTGAGAAAAACAGTGCACAGCCTGACAAGATGTTACTCAAACGTTCGATTGAATAAAAATAACGTCATCTAAATAGATCAGGCAGGAGTCCCACTGGAGTCCCGCCAAAACCAATTCCATTAACCTTTGTAAAGTAGCTGGGGCCGAATGTAAGCCCATCGGGAGTCTATTGAACTCGAACAACCCTTGCGGCGTCCGGAAAGCCATCTTAGGCCTGGAGCAATCGAGGGGCAACTGCCAGAACCCCAAAAGGAGGTCGAGCGTAGAGAAAAATTGTGCCCCCGCCAATGTGTCCAGTGAATCATCCATACGGGGCAGGGGATACACGTCCGCCACAGATCGCAATCAACGAGGCTATGCGTTAACTGTGTGTTAGCCGACTCTCTGTGTTGCATTACATTACATTTCCAAAAGATTTGCTACATTTTATTTTCTCAAACTATTTCTCTCTCTAAAATTCACCAGGCTCTCATAGGGCCATTCGATCTTCTTTCCTCGGTCGCTTCGGGGTGGATTCATTGACATTCTAATTTATCTGTCCCAGCAGCTACCCCAGCAGACCCACCTCTCTCTCTGCCCCCCCCTCTCTCTCTGTATTTAAGGCCTCGACACAGATGCATTGGGTCTCTGTGTCTATGTTGTGTCTCTCTCTGCTTGTGTGTCTGTGTGTCTCCGTGTCTGTGTTTTGTCTCTCTCTCAAATTTAGTTCTATCTGATGATGGTTGCTTGTGTTGCAATAGAAACGTCGTACTCTATTATTTAATTTATTTTCTTTCTACGTGACTTTACCGAAATAACCAAAGAGTAATTCCTCAATTAACGTGGTAGATGCGATTCTGAAAAGTGCCACGTTAAGCGAGGAATGACTGCTAATGAATAACATTTGCACTGAAAGCGGTTCGTCGACCGCGTTATAACGGGTGCGTGCAAAAAGTTATTTTAATAGAAGAATCGCGTTAAAGCGAAAACGCGTTGTGTAAGCGCCACGCGTAAAAAGCCAGGACTTGCCGAATGCACAAGAGGCGGCAGAGCGCACTGCGATTTGAGCCGAGTGAGGGACACGTGGCCAATTGGGGGTCCTTCTCTCTCAGCGACTCTCAGCTCCCCCCCCCCCAATTCCTTGTGCCCCCCCCCCCACTGCGCCCCCCCACCACCCCCACCCTTCTCTCTGCGCCCCCCCCCCCCACTTCCACCCTTCTCTCAGCGCCCCCCCACCACCCCCACCCTTCTCTCAGCGCCCCCCCCCCACTTCCACCCTTCTCTCAGCGCCCCCCCACCACCCCCACCCTTCTCTCAGCGCCCCCCCCCCACTTCCACCCTTCTCTCTGCGCCCCCCCCCCGTCTCCTCATTCCGCGATGCCGCCGCGCAGGAAGCTTCAGCCTCAGTCGCGGCCGAGCGCGAAGCGCGGCCGCCGGGGGAGCGCGGGGCGAGCCCGAGCCCAGGAGCTGCACGGGGAGTCCGGGGAGGATGCGGGGGAGGAGGAGGCCCACAACGCGGCCCCGGAGACGCCGTTCGGGCCCCGGGAGACGGTGGTAAGAACGACGCGGAGTCGGGCGCCGATTGAGGTCGGGACGGTGCTCACGAGGAGTGATCGGCACCGCTCCCGACTCCCCAGCGCTGATGTCGACTCGCCCCGGGCGAGGCCTGGAAGGCCGCGGCGAGGCCCTCGGCGAGGCCGCGTGCCGCTCTCGCTCCGCCGCGGACCTCGCTCCCGCTGGACTGCGTTGCCAGGCAAGGCCGAGGCTCCGCGGCGGGCCTGAGCTTTGTGTGCCCAACTCTTAGCTCGGTCAATTTTTATTGTATTCATTCATTAGCAGTTTGACTGATTCACTACGGAAATCATTTCGCGATGCCATTCACGCCTTTGATGACGCGTTTCATTCATTACATTAAAGTATTGTATTAACTTTAGAAACACGTACAGGCTTTGAATGAAACATTCACGACAGGAAATGGACATTGATGAGAGAGAACACGCAGGTTGCGGACATCATCCGAGCTGTTAGCAGAAGTGAGGGAGCTGGAGCAGCGCCGGTCACGGACGCGATGTTTAGGAACAACACTTGAGTGGCAGCCAAGGAACTCGACGCGTCCAGGAGGAAACCCGCCGAGGAGATGGAGCCATGAAATCCATCCAGGTGCAGCTGCTGCGCAGGTTGTTGTATGACAGGAGGATCGTGAAAGTTGGAGGCTTGGAGATGTGTGTTGAACTTCTTTCGCACCGTATGTAGCCAACCGTGCTAACCCAAGGTGCGGGAAGGCTTCACCCAGCAGCGGATTGGATCATGGCTGATGATTCATTGGTTCAGACGGCAAATACTTTACTGACGTTCTGGTTATAAGTGCTTGATGGGATGGAATCCGTCACGTCTGTCTTAATGCGAATAAAATGTACGTATAAAATATATTTTTTAAAATGTATTTCACAAAATAAAGAATCGTATATTGGTTTCCTGTTCGAACATGGATAGTTTCCTTGCTATACATTTTACAAAGATGAAAAATAACAATGTTTTACCCTTTCTGGCAATATAGCAGGTGTTAAGATGTTCAGACACCACATGGCATTTCCTCACCAGTGTTAGACCAGAGAATGCCGGAAGGCGCACAGTAACAAAGCCAATGCAAGTATCAGAACACTTATGGCTCTTAACACTGATGAGACAAGGCCATAAAGAAGGCTGTCTCTGGTGTAGACCAATCAGTTTCAAAGACAATGCGTACATCAGATAATGGTTGCATGTTTTGCCACAAGCATGTGTGGTTAATGCAGAATTGATGCCTTGCAAAGGGTATCTTTGGTGTTTGAACATCTTAACAGCTGTTTATTGCCAGAAAGGGTAACACCTATTCTTATTTTTCATCATTATTTGGATGCTGGCAATGAGGTCCCATAAATATTTTACAAGGAACTTTCATTCAAACAAACGGTGATTCAAGTGTTTCATTAAAAAAGTGAATCTGGAAACCTGCTAATGGATTGGTCAAGTTGATAAACAGGACTGCTTAGTCTCGTCCACACACTTTGAATTTCTAATTCGCTCCCATTGTCTCTTTCCAAAGCTTTTATGACCTTATTCAATTCAAGAAACCTGTCAACTCTTTTCTATTACAACTTTGAGAGTGCTATTTATTATTGGGTGCTTGACGTTTTGGGGTTGTGGGCCTGTGCTCATCAACTGTGTTTTAAAAACAAAATAAGTATAACCCGTAAAAACAAAGTTTTTCACTATAAATCCTTTATATGCGTGGCGGCTAGAGTCCTCTCGTCCTCTGGCTTGAGATGGCTGCCACCTATGGGTCAGATGATTGCATTGCACCATTAAGCAATTGGTAATTAAATATAATATTTTTGTCCTAAAAAGTGTAAAAAATGTAAAAAAAAAATTCACGAACATTAATTGTCACGCACAACGAGTCTGTGTGGAAAATGTCAGCTCGATTGGATCACGGGAAGTGGGTTAAAAAACGACCGAAAGATTTGCACGGTCCTAAGCAAGCAAGCGAACTTAATATAAAGGATTTAAAAAGGACCAAGCCACGTTGTGTTCCAGCTGCTGAAAGGGGCTCAAGTGTCCGGGCAGCTGCTGATCTGCGGAGCGACCAATTGGGACCTGATTGGCCGCAAGGATGTGCCCAAACAACATGGTAAGCAGTGTCTCAGACCGCCTGTGGTGCGCTATGCCATTTGCCCCTTTCCGCTTTTCCCCATTCGCTGCTTTATTTCTCTGGGTTGGCTGTGTCTCCTGTGTTCCCATCTTGTGTGTTAAGTGTTTGCAATGTCTCTGGACCCACGGGCCATTGCTAACCCTCCAAAAAACTCGCGAAATCACCATGCAGCAAAACATTTGGTTTTATGAGCAAAATCGTATCTGCAAGGGTTCCCACCTTGCCTACAGTATACGGAACACAGATTGGGAATTTTTGATCTAGACATGGTAGAATTTACTTTAAGAACTACATACATGAATTTCCTATCACACATATTACATTGTTTATGAAGATTGTTGGGAACAAAATAACAAAACCTTCATCTGTCAACCAAGCAAGTAAGCAGGGTTAAGGAAAGTCTGCTCTACCATTTTCCTCATCCCCCCACCACCCTAACATTGTTCTTCACAATGTGAAGTGTCTTGAGATGCAGTCGTATGAAGACGTTCTATACATTGAAGTTGTTGTTGTTTCACCGCAGTTGCCTACAAGAACCTGGGAGTTTCCCTGTGGGGGCCGCACCGCTACGGCTGTCTGGCCAAGGTGCATGTGAGCAGTGTGGTGTCGGGCCCAACGGCCTGCCACTGTCTGCTTCTCACCGATCTCGGGCAGGTCTACACATGGGGTTCGTAAGAGAGGGCGTCTGAGTGTGAGAGATTTGTTTTTGCTGTTTGTCATTGAGGTGAATTTGTGTAAGAAGGAGAGGGTATGTGGGGTAGTGTAGCGGTTTTCACATTTTTCTATGAACCCTTCAACACCAGTTTGATTCCCGCTCATGGCCAACACCAATGACGATTATCTGAACTGTTCCTTGGCCTCCCCTAGGTCGACTCAACCTCAAATGAGTACATTGTACAATGTGTAAACATCGCCAGTCAAGAGACAAAGATGGCCGGGCGTGTTGTTGGCCACCCAACCCCATGTGTGTCATGCCAGCCCTCATAGGTGTTCACTAACAACATTTGCCCCAAAAATCTGTTAAGGCTATCTTTTGGCATGTGGTCTGGTTTGGCAGTGGAGTTCACACTCTTAAATCAGTTAAGCAGCATTATCATGTCATTTTCTGTGTAATGTTGTGACAATTGCCTGGCCTGTCACTCCATACGAAGCTCTGGGTCTTCTTTGTCACATGCCATGTTTTATCTAGGCTTGTGAAACATGAACCCCTTTACAGGGTCACCTGCGCAAGTTTGAAACACTGGCGGCCTGTTTACAATCCATCTTGGTTTTACCTAGGCTGGATTGTCAGGCATTTGCAGATACTCGAAAGATCTGGACACATTGGGATCCCAGGTGGTACATCTGCCAGTCACCGTATTACATTAACCCGAAACTTATTGGTATATTTCATGACCTGTCTGCAAGATCTTAACATTTGAAGTTTGAAAAAAGTGTGGTGGTGATGTTACCACCACTTGGTGGTGAATGGCTGCTGCTGTTTATCGAGAGAGTAAGGGGGAGAGAATGTGCTTGAAAGGTTTACTTTCTATGATGGTGAGCAAGGGTGGCAGTACGGTACAGTATAAAAAAATATTGTACCATATTATCATCCTGTACTTAACCAAAAAATGCCACACTACCATAATCACGTAGGTAGAAATAAAATAAATCGCGACGTTTCGGGCGCAACACAAGCGTCCATCATCAGGTGGGAAAGCATAGTCTTCTGCTGAAGCAGACTGTTTTAAAAGGTTTGAAATGGGTGTAGCTCAAGGGTCATAAAGAAGTGGCCGGGGCTAGTGATGTTAATGTGAGAAATTAGCATGTAACTGTAAGATAGGAGAGCGGCCTCTGCGACGAGGGCACGGAAGTGGCTATGTTAATGTGAGAGATTAGCATGATGTTAATGTGAGAAATTAGAGGGCACGGAAGTGGCTATGTTAATGTGAGGGATTATCATGATGTTAACGTGAGAAATTAGAGGGCACGGAAGTGGCTATATTAATGTGAGAGATTACTATGATATTGTGAGAAATTAGCATGTAACTGTAGAAAAGAAGGAGAAGAAGAGTGTCCTCCTCGACGAGGGAGTGCAACCCAACGGGTGTAATACGGAAATCTTTTTGGTAACCCCTGCTATGTACGGTAAAGTGATGGTTTTGGTTGGATCCTTAGGAGGTTGTCTCCGCATGACTGGGGAGACAGCTTGGCGGATTGTACGGTCCGAGTATCCGTTCATCCTGAGGACTTGGTGTACCTGCTCCAACTCACTGGCTAGGTGGTTGGTGCTGGTTGGAGATGCAACGGGCCCTATGGTGTAGTGTTTTGATGAGGGAATTCTTCTGGGCTGGATGGTGGTGGGAGTCAGGCTTTAGATAGGCATCCGTGTGGGTGGCTTTCCTGTAGAGCGAATGTCCCAACGAGCCATCAGGTCTCTTCTCGATCAAAACATCCAGGAATGGTAGCTTGCCATCCTTTTCCACTTCCATGGTGAATTTGATAGATGGGTGTATGGAATTGATGTGTTTGAGAAATTGGTTCAGTGCTGGCAGGCCATGTGGCCAGATGACAAACGTGTCATCTATGTATCTCTTCTACATGGAAGAACGTAGGGTGGATGTCTGGATGGCATCTGTCTCAAAATTTTCCATGAAATCATTCGCGACCACTGGCGATAAGGGATAACCCATTGGGGTACCCTCATTTTGTCTGTAGAATGTACCATTCCAGGTGAAGTATGTGTTGGTAAGACAGTGCCTTACCAAAGTTGGTACATCTGGATTCAGTCCTTGTTGGACCAGGTCTTCAATGATTGCAATGGTGTCAAGTACAGGTACATTGGTGAACAGAGAGACTACATCGAAACTATAGTAATAGGTTTTTACCCTTTCAACTGGTACAAAAACTGACACCTTTATACAAGGCATCATGTTTGCAATAACCACAACACAAGCAGTCAAAATGCAAACAAAAAGAAACAACTCTGGTGATGATAATGATATGCACTGTCCTTGAAGTTGATTGGTCCACACCCGAGACAGCTTTTCTTAGAGCCTAGTCTCCATTGGCGTTGGACCAGATGACGCCAAAAGGCGTACAACTCAAAGACAGCGCATTATCAGAGTTTTGAGAGCTCGGGTAAGCATTTACACTATAAGACCTCCTTTACCAGTGGCAAAATATAGTAATAGGTTTTTACCCTTTCAACTGGTACAAAAACTGACACCTTTATACAAGGCATCATGTTTGCAATAACCACAACACAAGCAGTCAAAATGCAAACAAAAAGAAACAACTCAAATGATGATAATGATATGCAATGTCGTTGAAGTTGATTGGTCCACACCCGAGACAGCTTTTCTTAGAACCTAGTCTCCATTGGTGTTGGACCAGATGACGCCAAAAGGCGTACAACTCAAAGACAGCGCACTATCAGAGTATTGAGAGCTCGGGTAAGCATTTACACTATGAGACCTCCTTTACCAGTTGAAAGGGTAAAAACCTATTACTATATTTTGCCACTGGTAAAGGAGGTCTTATAGTGTACATCGAAACTGACAAGCAAATTATCCAGAGAGAGTGAGATGTCCTTGATTAGAGAAACCAAGTGAGCTGAGTTAAGTACAGCTTAGGTCAGGGGTCGGCAACCTACGGCTCCGGAGCCGCATGCGGTTCTTTACGGGCTGCTTCTTGACGATATGTACGTATGTACAGTATGTACTCAGATGCATTGCGGCTCTTGAAATACTGAATTTTGTACCGAATTGGAAAGAAATGGCTCTTGTTATTTTGGTTGCCGACCCCTGGCTTAGGTGGACTTACCAGTGAAAGGAAGCAGAGTCTCAGACAGAAATCGGACCAGTTTGTAGGTGGGTTAGTTAATCGTGGAGACGATAGGACGGAGCGGGGTACCTACTTTGTGGATTTTTGGAAGGCCATAAAATCTGGGTGGTCTAGCAGCTGAATGTTTTAGGGAGCTCTACTTTGTCTGATCGATTAGAGAAGTCGATTTAGTGATTATATTATTGGTTTTAGTAGCTAGGCAGTTGATTGTGAGAGGTTTATTAATGCTACAACATGCGTATTTACGAGCAGAGGTGTGGAGGAGGATGGTGGTCGTTGATGCTGTGTTGCGTTTTCTAGGCCGAGGAGATAAAGGCCAGCTGGGGCACGGGGACTTGAAGCGCGTGGAGGCCCCGCGGCCTGTGGACGCGCTCTTCAAGTTCACGGTCGTGGCGGCAGCGTGTGGGCGGAGCCACACTCTCTGCATTACCGGTCAGCAGTCGGCGCATGCCACAGCCATAGCCCTGACAAGTCTCATTCATGTCGTTCCACATTCGTACGTGATTTCACAAGCCTAGGCACCTTTTGTCGGTGTCAATTCAAGTTCCTCATCATTGTCCATGATCTATCCAATGCTGAATGAAGACCTCTCCAAGCAGTTGACATTTCTCATAATCTTAAAATGCCACAGTTCATCTTGCTTTTGCAAAATAACTGAATTCAATGGTCTATCACTGCGGTGGACGTCGTCTTGCCGAGTAAATATATTGTTAGTGACTTTTGTTTTGCTATTTATCTTAAGCCCAACTTACCAACCTTCCTCATTAACGAGAACCCATATCTAACAGAGGCCGTTATCTATAAACACGGGACATTTTACCAGCATTGTCTTATGCAAGCCTGACGATGTTGATGACACACTGAATGTCAAAACCAGTCCAGCGTTTACTTGTATTCAACCAATGCTGCTGAAGAAATCACTCCCAGATGGCCGTGCGGTCAAGTTTATTTTGTTTAACGAGGTCAAGAGTGACCTGGGGAATTTCATCTGTCAGTAGAGGCTATGATTGTTGTGTATTTCAATTAAGTAATTTTTGTATTTGGAAAATTTAGACTGATGCCTGCACACAACAGCTTACTCTTGCAAATTGCATTGGAGGATCTTTATAGTGCACTGTGAAGCAGATGGTGCGTAATAATGTTTGTTACACCCGCAATAATAGCCAGGGCAGGCGCCTGATTCGAACCATAGACCAACAATTGGAAAATGCGCTGCCTCTAGAGAGACAGATATGGGTAGGAGGGCTGTTGTCTGCTTATTTATTTTTAGAGTAGAGTTGGAGTAGCCATGCCGACGCACAAGATACTGTTTTGCAGAGACTGGGGTGGTGCTGGCGTTTGGAGAAAATCACCTGGGACAGCTGGGGCTCGGCACAAAGAGTAACGCCATGCCAACGCCCAAGCAGGTAGAACAGTTTGGGCCTCGCGTTGTATCATTTCCCCAATTTACATGCATTCTCATGTTTACGATATGGGCATTGAATCATGCGTGTGAGGATCAATATTTCAATGTGTTGTATGTAATGGGTTCATGTGACCCCTTCAGTCACTTAAAGTGCTATCATTCACCAATATTAAGTGAAAAGCAAGAAGGGGAATGGTAACTTCTCTATAGCATAGTGCCATACACGTGTACCACACCGTACATGATTATTGTTACACCCGTTTATCCAGGAAAACCTCAATACTATTTCAGGAGGGTTCTGCCAAGTTTTCACAGTTGGCGATGACTATTGCTGCGCCAGAACACAATGGCTGATTCTTTTAATTACATCAGAGAATCTTTAACGTCCTCTGTAAAGTAGATGTCACATCGTATGTTATGGTTAATTTAACTGGAGTTTGTTGAACACGTAGGATTTCACAACCAATATCCAAAATAATGTTTTTTTGGTTTAGATTGCGTAAATATAAATGTGTCGTCAAACCCGCCACCACCCAACGCAGCCAATTAGTAAGATTTGTTACGTAAACAAAACGTGTCAATTAGTACTTCAGCACACCGCTTGTGTGTTGGAGAGTAAACACAGAGCATTTACAATTCGAGTACGACGCTTCGCTGGTGATTACAACAGCTTCATCAGGTGATTATCCAGAATTGTGGCAAAGTCTTAAATAGAGCATGGGTTCTTATTTCACCTTTATTTATCAGTTGCAAAGATCATAGGGTGGTTAATGTAGTCATAAATTGCAATGGATCATGTTCATCTGAGAATATACAGTACCTATTATTGGTTGGGGTTAATCAACTTTACAGTGGAATGCTTTTCTATTTTGTTGTACATTATGTTGATCTGCGAATATGCATATAATATGCAGTACCTATCTTTGATTGCTCACAATTAATCAACACACAATTGAATTCTAGATTTGAAGCTTTCGTGACTGCAAGGATTCATACTCTCAGTTCTTTCGGTAAAGTTACGTAGGTAAAAAATGAAATTAAAATTAATAAAAATAAAATAAAAATCACGACGTTTCGGAGGCAACACAAGTCTCCGTCATCAGGTGGGACCGTCACAGCCAGATTTGCTGCATTAAGTGAGGCAGGGATTCAAGATGCAAGCTCTTAAATACAAGTTAAGGGGGAGGAGAGGGGGGGGAGCTTATCAGAATGTGGTAGCCAATGAATGGAACGTATCAGGAGGGGGGGACGGGGCTAAAAGAAGACACAAGGTGCTCGTAGGCGTCGACGAGTAAGTGTTTGTGCGCAAGTCACTGTTGTTGCACATGATAATGTATTGGAAGGGGGGGGGGGGGGCTAAAAGAGAGCACGGGGTGCAAGTGTACGTGGACATGCCTGTGCACAAGCACCTGTTGATGCACATGATAGAAAAGAACGAAAATGCCCATGTTTATACCAGTGTTGGCTGGCAATGAAGAGAGTACTGTTAAACGCTGGGGATGTTAACACTCGGTAAAGTAAAATAGTGCCTATCAGATAAGATGGTCCAAAAATGTGTAGTTAAATCTTTTTTACATGGTTAATAACATCTTTCCAATGATTACTAAGTTTGTACCCATCATCACGGTTGAAATTATGTCTGTGTTTGTATATAATTTCAACCGTGATGATGGGTATATCTATACAATACAAACACCTGCATAGGTATGCAATTATACAGTGTATTGATAATGCACTTCCAAGCAGCACTAAGCCTTGAGCTATCAGAAGGGTTACAATTATTTCTATTTGTCTAAATTTCTAAATATCCCCTAATCTTGGCCAGTAATAATACATTTTACACAAAACATTAAAAAATTCTAAAAATCAATTGAATGTCCTTGTTGGCACGCATGTTCTGCAACTGCCGACAGCTGTGTTTGTGAGTATTTCATATTTTTATTTTAGTCTTATGCTGATCATTCGTCCCTTCTGACCAGCATAGTATTGGCCACAGGAGAAATTAATCCGGTACACAGCTTTTGGCTAATTGAACCTTATGGTGGTACCCCGGGGTACCATAGTACCTCGGCTCTTGTATAATGTCCGTGATGGAGTCATTCTTAGTCTGTTGATGGTCGGCGATGCAGCAATGGACTCCTCTCGACGAGCTGTACACGATGCACCACTACGGTGCGTACGAGCGTTCAGGGTTTCAGCGCAATCGTCCTCGCTGCGTTTCGACATTGCGGAGTAGCACCTGATTTCGGATTGATTGGTACCCCAGTCGCAGAGTTAAGTAAACCCCTGGAAAAATAGTGTCCCAGAAATAAAATATTTTATTGCCTCGGCCATTTTGTATTATTTGGTACCCCGAGATACCTTATGGCGGTACCCCGGGATACCCCGGGGTACCGCCATAAGGATCAATTGCCTGATGAAGTTGGTTGTAATCACCAGCAAAACGGCATGCTCTAATTGTAAATGTTGTGGGTTTACTCTCCAACACCGGTGTGCTGAAGTAGTAACTAATTTGCAAGTTTTGTTTACATGACAAACCTTACTAATTGGCTGTGTTGGGTGGTGGTGGGTTTAACAACACATTTATATTTACGTGATCTAACCCAAAAAAAAGTTTTATGGACAACTGCAGTATTAACCAGGGCGGTCTGCTGAACAACGACAAGAAGCAGCAAATGCACTACCACTGGGCTGCGTCACTGCCTCATGGTGCAAAGAACCCCACACGCATCCTTGGCCACACGGAGAATACATAGCTGCACATGTGTACCTCCTGTATTAATGATTGTGCTGCTCGCCCTTAAGATTGTGTACAGCGGACAGCCGGTGGTAAAGGTGGCTTGTGGAGCGGAGTTCAGCATGCTGGTGGACTGCAAGGGTAATCTGTACTCATTCGGCTGCCCAGAGTATGGACAGCTGGGTACGTGGCGCGGTGATGCCGGAATACGTTATACTCGTGCAAAACGCTCTTTAAATGGATATTATAACTTGTTAGTTATTTGATATGCTGTGTTTACAGCTCACACCTTGCTACTACCATTGATTGCTTCAGTTTACTATTCATTCTAATGCTTGTTTGTCCAGGAAAGCCTCACTGAGTCTCAAGGTTCTTTTTCTAGACATGTCCTGCCAAGTTTTCACAGTAGGGGCAATATTGCTGTGTTTATTCTTTATTTGAGTAATTTTCAGGTATTTTTTCAGCATTGGGATATTTTGGCTAATACCAGCTGCATTGTATGTGTTTAGCATGGGAGGAAACCACAGAACCCAGAGGAAACATGCAGAACAGGGGGAGAATATAAAAACTCCAGACAGAAATGAGCCCAAGTCAGGTATCGGACTAGGAACTTCTTGCTTTGTGGAACAAGTGTTTCCACCGTGCCACCCTGCGGCCCGTTAATTAAAGATGGCAATAGTCTGAGGAGGCCTTCAAACTTGGATAGATCATGTCCGATGATGACTACTGCCGTTTGTAAGAGATCAATAGCGTTTACTACACGGGCGTGCAGGCCACAACACGGACGGCCGCTTCCTCGCGTGCGCCAACCGGCTGGAGTTTGTGTGCGAGTTGGCACCGCGCCGCGTGCTAGTGTTCACGGAGCGCACGCGTGACGGGAAGGTGAACACCTGTGCCGGCCGTGTGCGTCACCGACATCGCCTGCGGGTCCAACCACACGGCAAGATTTCACACGCTTCTCTTTACCAGATCACATCCGTTCACGAGTACATTCGATGTTTGCGCCGTTTGTATAGCACATGGCTATCACGAGGAAGGTGCTCTGTTTCACAGATGCAGTCTGCAGTCTTTTCTCAGGAGGGGGTGATGTTGCTCTGAGTATCTCAATAATTTGTGAGTAGTAATTGAAAAGTGTCATTAATTGACACGATCTTTTAATATCCATTCTGGGTTCACAGTGCTTTGTGTTAATAGGTGCTTCATAACAGCTATTATTCTAACAGTATTTTAAAAGCTACACAGGATACCGTCGTCTCTGTGTGTGTGTGAGCAGCTGGTGCGAGACAGCCAGCGCCGTGTGTTCTCCTGGGGATTCGGAGGCTACGGTCGGCTCGGCCACTCAGAGCAGAAGGACGAGATGCTGCCTCGACTCGTCAAGATGTTTGACTTCCCCGGCCGGGGCGCCGCGAGCGTGCATGCCGGCTGCAGCTGCTCCTTCGCCATCATCGAGACTGGTGGGTGCACTACGTAGGACCGGTGTACGCCTGGTGAGGTGGCGGTGAGATCGAGGGAGTGGCGGTGGAGTGGTGTATATAACTCCTGCTGTGATAGGCGACATATGCCGTGTGTTGTGTGTTGTCCGCTGTGGCTGTACGCAGGGGCACTCTATTTCTGGGGTACCTCAAGCACCATGCGCGAGTCCACCATGTACCCCAAGCCCGTGATGGACCTCGCCGGATGGAAGATACGCAGTCTGGCATGCGGGTAAAAACCAGCCCAGACCTCTACCTCCGTCATGGGCAGAATGTTTTATTATATACATTTGTGCTTTATGGTCGGCAAGTAAGGCGGTGTGCTTGATCCTGTGTGGTGTCAGGAAGAGCAGCGTTATGGTGGCGGCTGATGAGAGTACCATCAGCTGGGGTCCATCTCCTGCTTTTGGGGAACTGGTATGCACGCACTCACACGCATGCACACATGTACGCTCGTTCATACATGCCTACACACACACCTACACACATGTCCACACACACAAGCACCAATACAACAACAACAACCGCCATTCGCCACTAAGTGGCGGTGACGTCACCACGACGCTTGTGCCAGGCCATGTGCACCTTGTGGCCACGTGAAGTGTCGAACGCCCGCTGGCAGGAGGTCACGGGGCAGACCCAGGTGCCACGGGTCGACTGACTGAGATGATCGAGATGACTGGCTGATGCACTACCTGTGCCACCTACTGTGCCAACTTGCTGTGCTTTAGCCACCCGGCGCTCCACCCGTTGTTGTGAGCGTTGCCCCTGTGGCTCCTACTATGTTTATTCTCAGCATTGTTGCAGACTTTTGATTTCGAGAAAATATTGTAAACAAGTCGGCATAATGTAAACAAGCTGAATAGGACTACAAAACTGTCGTGATGGTGTCTACATTCACAGTCAACGGGGGTGACAATGGTAGTGCAAGTGCAGCCTGGATTATTAAAACGAAATCGGTGGCTCAGAAGTCAAAGATAATGAGCCGCTACCACTAAGATCCTGGGTACCAATCCGGATGCCAGATGTCGTGATTAAACTGAGTTCTCAAGTGTAGCACATTGATGGTTTCAGCTTGGTGATTCATGGCTTCGCAAAGAAAAAACAATGTGTTTTTACAATTGATTTGGTTAAATTCTATCTCTCAGACGTTAAAACATCTATTCGACTGTCACAGCCTCATAGCAGATTGTATGGGAAACTTTTGTCCACGGTCATTCTCTGACATACTGGGTGCCCTGTTTTGCGAGATTATCTGACTTGATCCTTTGTCTGGTAAGACAATGCTGATGGAACAATTGCAGCAACACATTTGGACAAAAAACTGAATTATAGGATATTCTTTTTTAATGCCAAGCACTATTGCTGAAGCTATCGTCATGCCTGTGGTGGAACTGCTGATGACCTTCGGAGTTTGAACCGAGGCGTCGGTACAGCAGTGAGACCACAGGCCACATGCTGTAATAAAGGAACCTCTGACATAATTCTAATGTCTTTGCTTTCTGCCTCCGTCACAGGGGTATGGTGACGGAAAACAGAAATCATCTACCATTGCCAAGGAGGTGAAGCCCTTGGATGGTATCTACATTGAGCAGGTGGGGGCGGTGGCATAGGCCACGATTCAACTCTTTGGCTGTGAGCTCTACAGTGCGTGTGTGCTCGTGTTAGTCACTTGTTGACCCAGGATACCCTTGCACAAGAGATTTAGTTGTCGCAATGTGTTCTCACTTGGTAAAATAAAGTCAATAAATACATAGAATTCGATCAGTAATGTTATAGCATTTGTAGAATACTTTAATTTATTCATAACCCCTAAAAATGTTTAGAAAAAAATACTTGAAAATGCTCAAAACAAACTTAAAGCTATTTTTTTTTGTCATTAGTGACTAGGTTGAGAACATGCCATCACTACGCTGGTTTAATCACCAGCAGCTGAAACCCGGCTCAGTGCTCTGACCCGACATCCACTTGGGACACCTTGTCCCGTGCTCAACCCAGGACTGAAATTGTCTTTCACTTCTTTTGACAAAATTCTAACTTTGGGAGATTTTACTTGGACATTCAGGAAAACACTCGTGGGGCCTTTATAATGTCGAGTTGGAGCGATATAATTTTCACAATATGATAAAAAAAAAGTTTAATGATAGGATGATTATTGTGATATTAGTTTAACTTAACTTTGTCATTGTATTTCACATTTTGTCCTGTTTTTGTGCTCCACTTCAAGTACAATTCTATTGCTTAAAGGTTATTCAACTGCAGTTCACTCAACATAAACCTGCCATTAGTCTGCTAATCATTGTGTAAAGAAGCTCCTTGGAGACATCCATTTTTGCAGAAGCAAAGCGTTATTTCTAACTTAACATATTTACAGTTCTGAGTGTAACAATCGCCACGCTCGTAATTGCTATGGCTATCTTCCTCCCCGATGATTTCCACCAAGTTGAGTCTCCAACAGTCAGCCCCGATTCTTTCCACTTTGTCGATCTCGAACAGTCAGCCCCGATGTTGTCCACCTTGGTCGTCGATTATTCCCCGAGCAAGCACCCCGGTCGCGCGCCTCGCTCCCCCTCATATACTCGCTTGCCCCGCCCATATCGGACAGTGCCCCCCCCCCCCCACTCTACTATAACACTTGTGTCCTTTATTGAATAATGATTACAGTGCGTTCCGGCCACCTGTTTCCAATGATCTCAACGTGTGCCTTCTAGCACTTTCTCTTTGCAGTCCCCTAGATCTGTAACTTTCCGATCACGTGAATGTTTACAATCTTGTGATGGCCGCATATTAACCAGGACTGTGTGTGCGTTGTCTCGCTGGGTGGTGATGACTTACCGTCCCTGTGACACAGGTGGCCATGGGGCTTTCCTTCACGCTAATGGTTGCCCGGGATAAAGGAGAGGATGACGAGCAACGGATCTTGAAGCTGCCCGAGTACAACCCCCGCGACTTGTAGCTGCTCCCAGAGCTGCCGCATGAGCCACTCTCCGCATGAGGGCCTTCTCCATAATTACTAATTACAAATAATTACTGGCCACCCAGCACAGCCTCTCAGCATGTGGGGAAGGCCCTCATGTTGCCAAATTTGTCTGGATTAATTAGAAATAATTACTACAATTGTTTATCTTTAATGTCAATAAGAATGAGATATCAATATGTGTATGCATGCTGTGTGTACACACGTAATGGCCTGGATCTCTTGGTCTCTCTGGCTTCGTCTACATTATGAAAGCGGTGATTCTTCACATCCTGCTTTCTTATGTGATATCTATACATTCCAGAGGCCTTGAAGTGTTTTTTCGCAGTTGATAAACATTGCAAAAAAAAGTGATAGTTTTCAAAGTGTTAGATGTCATATACAGGTATTTGCAAATTGGGTGAGAGTGGTTGGTGAGAGGTTTTTATTGTTCCCTTGCTGTTATGACCTTGGACCAGTTAATATTCTTGTGTTTAGACCACGTGGTGGCATATATTGACGTGCTACAGATTTTATGAAGACCTGATGTTTAGCGTTGTTTTATAATGTAACGGAGTGCCTTTGCACGTCGCTCCTAGGCAGCTCTAGAATTCATCGTTTTCAACTCAGGGTTTTGTACGTGACTGGCGGCGGAACACGGCAGCTCTCTGTGGCCTTACTCCCATCGCTATTCGCTGTGCGTTTCATTCAGGAGTGACTTGTTACGGTGTGGAATGAGGTGACGAAATGTACCGAAGAGTCAAAGGGGAAGAACTCTTACCCAACCGTGCAGCCCATGGCGTTCCCCGACTATGCAGGGAAGGCCCAGATGTTGCCACTGGTGTCAAGACAGGACATCGTTTTTTTGGCCTTGATAAGTCTGCTAAGTACAGCCAGTCTGACTCAACTGTGAGACACCATCGGTTTCTACATCCAACATTGATCATTCACAGTCTTTTGTCAATCCACTGCTGGATGAAGGCCTCCTCATGCAGTGTCGGTTATACTTCACACTGATCAGTGCGGCTTGGTGGAAGAGGGAACCCAGGACCAGAACAGATATCACCATTGATGCTGTAAATCAAACTGAGGTCACTGGGTTCATAGCACAATGTGTTAACTACTGTGACACCATTCCATCTTCTGGCATTAGGAGACGGCTGCATTACCAGTGCTGCACATACCCATCAGCAGCTTACCATATAAGAATAAATAGACTTTAATTCAGCTAAAGGCTGAACATTGCCAGGACAGATCCAGCATTAATGTTAATGCTACGCCCCAAAGAGGCTAAATGGCAGTGTACACACATTTAATTACTCGTGTAAGAATATTTTCAGGTTATATGTGTTGCCTGTACTTGACCCCTTCACAAGATATCGCTTACATTCACTGCAATGTTTAAAAATGATTGAATCGTGACTCCTATTCACAATTCGTTAAATTGCAATGGGTTTTTTTGTTATTGCACCCTAAGACTATCCCTTAGGATAAGACCAGGGGGGGGGTGTAATTCATAAGGGTAGTCAGGGCTTGCTAGGGGGAGTGCACAGGGTACAACAATACTTCACAATGAATGTAGACCACAGCCGTCGCTCATTTTGGTATTTTGGCAATTGCAATTTGAAATGTGACAGACATGGATGCGTTGTTGGGTTTAAACTTTAATAAATGTGTTTTTTGTACTTTCACAGAAGCATTGTCAGTATTGTGCGTTATCGCTGCAGCTGTTAAATGGTAGATTGGTTGTTTTAGAACAGAACCAGAAGAGACTTGCTTGACTTAATGTCGTGAAGCATTCGCACCAGCAGCTAATTACACGCAGTCTTACTCCACGCAAGACTGGGCAACTCCTGCTCTTATTATTACCTAGGGATCTACCCCGGACCCTTGATGGGTATGGGGTCCCACCTGTTGTATGTGTTGGTTTATGAAATTTTGATAAAAATAATAAAATTAAGAATTTTCAAAAAAAATGCGCAAATCGCATAAATTATGTTAATGTATGTAATTATATGCATAAATTATGATAATCACGGATATAATCGTAGTAATGTATGCGGATGCTTGCGATTATGTTAATGTGTGCAGTTATGATAATTAGGCTTAGTTTCGTTTATCCAGAGTCGTATCAATCAGGATAACACGATTATCATTGATTAAACATTTACCGATTATCCTAGTGTGTTATGTTATTTTAGGTCTCTAGTTTCATATCTCATCACAGGCTACAGTTCTCAAGAATAAGACAGTTTTGCATGGACTTGGAAGGAACACTCGATATGCTTCTGTGATAACAATTTTATTCTAACAAGTATGTGACATTCTATCATGCAAGTCAAACATGCGTCAATAATTCATGAGCAAGATTATGCAATTAACTAATATGAATGACAACACTTATGCATTTGCGAGATTATGCAATTACGAAATTGAATGACTAAAAACACTTCTAACAATCGCAACCTCTACCTTTCATCAGGCATCTCATTAGTTCCCCCATGTATCGATCACAATCGGCGACTGACCGAGTTTGAAAACAAGCATGACACACTTGATATGGCGGCAATAAAAGCACTTATTGTACCCCGAAAGCGAAGCATATCTCAATCGATTCGTTGACAAGATTAAATCTGGTAACGGAATGTTTGAGACAATGGTGGGTGAGGGCGTGTGTGTGGGAGAGCGAATCTGGCTCTGTTTTAATTAATTCTTCGGCGAGACTGACAAAGAAACCGGTTTGACAAGATATTCTCTGTGCTTCCTTGAGCCTGTGCGTGTGTGGAAACGATACGACCCTGTTTGGAGATTTCCTCACAGTCCGTGCGGATTGCAGACGCGACTTTCTCCGCAGGGAGTTGAGCGGCGGCGCTTGGCGGTCCTCGGTAGCTGACGGCGCGGTGGCACGCTCTCTCTGCAGCTCTGACGGCGGCGCTCGTTCGGAAGGCTTTGACTCTCTTTCTCCACTGCGGGATGACGAGTCGGTTTTGGTTGATGCTGGTTGATCTGGGTGTGCGTATTAGACACACGGCGCATTCAATGGCGCTGTCCTCACAGCCGTTCAATCAGGCTTTCTCCACTGCTTCGCGCTTTCTGCTTTGCTCGCTTGGCGATCTCCGCCTTTCCTGCGGGTTGTTCGCTGGTCGTCACTCTGACGAGGAGCGATGTTTCGTTCGTTGCAGGGTGGACATTGGTGTCTTTGTTGGCTCGGGAGTGGTAGCTGGAGTCTCCGTCAGCTTCACTTGCAGCTCGGCGACTCAGGGTAGCGATTCTTCTCAGGTGGTGCAGACCTCGGCTTGTTGCTGCACGTCGCTACCCCGCGAACCTCGTCATTCTGGATGACGAAAAACTTCTTCATTGGCGGTGACGAGAGGAGATGGAGTCGACGCCCCGTGACGATCTGTGGTGGGCTGAAGCCCCGGAGACGAGATGCTTTGAATGGATTTTGCCTTTGCTTATATCGGGAAAATCCACTAGTATTCCCGAGTTTGTTCAAAGGCTGTGTTATAACTTTTCTCTTTGTTCGTGTGCGTTGTGGGCGTGTTCGTCCGTTCGTTTATTAGCTTTGAAGACACAGCTGTGTAATTATTCTGGAAGGAGGGGTGGGGGCCTCGCGACGGCGCCACCTAAGTTATCCATTAACCAGACCGACGATTCGTGTTCGCATTGAGTTATAAAAAAATATTCTAATCCATGTTTTTGTTTCTGAATAATATTTGTTGCGAAAACCTACGCGTTAAGCGAGCTTAATTATTCCCTCCCTTGCTCTGGGCGTTATCTTTTGTCTCACACAGCTTAAGTTGTTTTGGTTTGGAAGTTGAAATGCGCTTAGTTCCATTATGCCCAAGTTATGCCGAAACCGTGTTCACGATGTTTCATCGTGACCCGATCTCCCATGGAAATGTTATTTGCTCGCGTGTGCAAATCCTGCTGTCCGTGTTGGAACGCCCTGCACGTGTTTTATTTATTAATTTCCTTTCTCGAGTCGTTGCCCGCGCGCTACGATCTTTATGGGGCCATTTCCTGGCTTTGTGCCTGCGTGTGGAGATCCTCTCGGAAAGACAAAGACGGCCGTGTTGCTCGCTTCTCATGGGGTGTTGCGTTTGGTTAATTTTGAGAAACTTCTCCGCCCTTAGCTCCTCTAGGAGATCCACTTTAATTTCGTACTTATTATTTGACTTCTTGTGAAGTCAAATGCCATAATTATTTTTTTTAATGTTTCGGCCCGGCCGTGTAGAAATTATTTAAAGGTAAATAATGTCAGTATTTAATTAACAATGATGGGTCGTGACCTTGGTGCCGACTGTAGTCTGGTTTCCAATTGGAGTGAGGATAGATATTGTTTGCTTAATCTTCATGGCTAAGTTGGTAACTTTGTTTATCTAACATGGTTCAAAACCCGTCTGTGCTTTTTGTCGTCAATGTTGTTTCCTTTGTTAAGAATATAATTATATATTTCGTGGCCTGGTTTTGTATTTATCAAAGGGTTTTTTTTGTAAGGCTTTTTAACGAAAGGATATCATCCTGACCCTCCGCCTGCCATTCCCCCCTCCCTTGTTCCTCTTGTGTGAAATTAGGGGAGTTTTTATGACCTTTATTGCCCTCTTTCATGCCCTCTAGCCCTTTGAGGTGAGGTATGCGCGCATCTGTGGAAGTGTGGGGGCGTGTTCGTTCCACGTTGCCCCGTGTCTATTAAAAAAACGATTTTATATATGTTGGCAGAATAATTCTTTGAAAAAATAATATTAAAAAAATAAAAAGGGGGTATATACACAACACACCCCTTGGTGGATCCGGGGTCAGTCCTATGGTGGGTCAGGGGGGAAGTCTGGGGTGGGTCTTGGACAGCTACAGGCGTAGCGCTGCTTGAAAGTTAATAATCAAATAATGCATTGTTTGGGTGCATGCCTGTGTAGGGGTGTTAAAGAGAGGGCCCGTTATGCATGGCAGCCTATGGAAAACAAACACAGTGGGCGGGGCTACGTAAGTGCACGAGCAAGTGCCCTCTACGACGTCCGAGCCAGACACCCTGGGGGGGGCTGGTTCGAACGTTATGATCCCCCGGGGCCCCACCCCTCAGGGAGGGGTTGGGTATAAAAGGGGATGTTTCAAAGGGCTCGGCAGTTATGTTTAAGCTAAGGGAAGAAGATTGAAGACGTCTTAGATAGAGCCCTGGACTCCCCTGGTTCGATGTCCTTTTCAGGGCCGGACAGGATTGAGCCAGCGGCGTGGTCCCGAAAGCCAGAGCCGGTGCTCTTGTAAGAGCTGGTCTGGAACTCCGGGTACCGGGCCCGACTTACCAGTGTCGGGCCAGTTAGCCTCCCCTAGCCCATTAGTGGAGGATTCGGGGCTAGGACAGAGTTAGCTAGGGGTGTATCCCGAGTTATACGGGTGAGGGGGCCGATACCCCCTCGAGTGTGTATATGCCCACTGTCATATTGTGAATAAACATACGTGTGCCTCAACCTCGGCGTCAAGCGTCCTCACCGGTACTTCAACTGGTGTCAGAAGTAATTCGAACATGGACACGCGGAAAACAGCGCGAGCCAAAGTACCGCAAGAGGAAGACACTGCCGAGATCGTCGAGCCCGAGACGGCTCCACAAGACAAGGTGCAGCCGGGGCCTGACGCCTCCTTACCGGGGCATCGAAATGAAGAGGGGCCGCAGCCAGACGCGTTACGGCTGGCTCACGGGAGGCTGGCGGAGCTGCTGTATGCCGCTGCCGCCACGCTGGAGACCATCACGCGACTAGGGGCCGGTGATCCAACACGGGGCGAGGCGAGCCAACGACCAGGGCGCCTTCCCGCCATTTCGGAGCAGTCCGAATTTGAAATTCCCGCCATCGACGCTACAGCTGTTCGGGGCGTGGCCAGCCTAGACATCCGCTCCGACATCGCCGTCGCTGAAGCTGCAACGTCATCACAAGCGCGACAGGCGATCCCATCGGCCGTTCGCACCGACGCACAGCCGAGTGGTGGTGACATCAGCCTGCGGGAGTCCACAACGACCGCTGCGCTTCATCAGAGACTGCCCCCGCTGAAGGAGTTCATCGGCGCGGAGGGGGACTGGGCCGGTTTTCGCCGACGTTTCCTCGCCCATCAGGAGATGGCGAAATGGTCCGATGAGGAGGCTCTCTGCGCGCTGCCGGCGCTCCTCGACGGCGACGCGCTCGCCGCCCTCACATCGGCGCCGAGAGAGAAGTGGTCTACGTTACCGATGGCACTACAGCTGCTGGGCGGGGTCTATGGACCATCGGCTGAATGCCGACAGCAATTTTACGACCGCAAGCGGGGTGAGAAGGAGTCGCCCCTAGCATATCGGACGAGCCTCCTGGCGATGGCTAAGTCGGCCTTCCCTCGTATGGACGACGACGGCGTGGACGCGATGGTCACGGAGAAGATCCTCCTCCTGGCAGACGACCTTGACATCGCGGTCGTCGCCCGGGAGGACGAGGAGATGACATCGCTCCAGGCGGCGCGGCTCCTCCACGCCAACCTCCTGTCACTGCGGCGGAAAGCCAGCAGGGCATCGGCGGGGCGTGCGGTGGCTGCAGCCACCATTCCGACGGAGGAGCTCTACGCCGTCGACCACCGACCGCAACAGGCGACAGGAGCACGGTCGGGCCGGGACGGGCCGGGCCGTTTCAACCGTCCGTCTCCTCCAACGGTGCTCCCGCGGTGTTTCAACTGCGGCGT